TAAAGGATTATGTTTTAGTAAAAAGAACGCCACGTGCTTTGATAATTCCTACTTTTCAGTACGAAAGACACATCAGTAAGAACGGAACGCATCTCCATTTCTTACTTCTCTTTTGACGATACGTGAAAGTGTATATCAAGAACACATTTTCTTCAATATATGACTTTTTGAAGGAGGTCTTGTGATGGGACTTTTAGCTCGCAGTCGAACTAATCCTTGACACAACCCCCTTTATTAGTTAATTTGTAAAGTACTTCTTTAGAGAAATTCATTACTCGGAAGCGTTTTGGATCACTACCACTTATTCAACTAAAAGCGCAGGAAGAAAAACCTTGTTCGGGATATCAGACAGTACACAAAACAACTTCATAGATGCGGGAGGTACATTACAAGGTCACGTGATTTTTGCCTCGTGGCCTCTACTTGAATAATTCATTAAATGACTTGTGAAAGCAGTTAGTATGTTAGAAGCCAATTATGTCCTTGTTGCCTCCAAAATCTAAGTTCGATAGTCTTTTTTAACGAGTGATTTAGGTGCTTGACCGGCTGGATGTGGACAACATGACCTTCTAGGTCATGAGTAAGGCGAAAGTGTGAAACGCTAGCTCCTTGAATTAATAATATTGAACTTTGAGTATGGATAAGAAATTAGCGAAGATGCCGAGCATATAAGATAGTCGATTTTTGAAAATCGGATAGTATCGATGCATAAACGAAAAAATATTTTGACATGAAACAGTTCTCCATAGATCAGGAAATCAAAGGTGTGAGGGAGTAATTTGTTGATGTCATCAAGTCTCATAGTCTCTTCGCTATTTGCTCATCTACTTATGACTAAATAACGCAGTGCCAAATCTCACACGTTTAATGAGTATATTTTACAGTAACGGTACACCTGTAGCAGAGGAAGTTTCCTGGATTTTGTGTTGAAAGTTGATTTGGCCACATGGGACTTTTCTTAATTGCTTCTTTATCGAACTCTATGCAATAGATTATCGTTTATCTCTACGATAACACTACAACACCAGAAATAGGATATATAGGATAACACAAAGCATAGACACTGGAATTCAATTGAATTAATAACCGAGCGGAAGAGAGAGAAGGGGTAGATAACATCAGTTATATTATGGAGATTGTTGTCTACAGCATCGTTGCATCCACTTTATTTGGTGCTTCAGTACCAAATCAATTGAAAGACCTCTACACTTCAGTGTCATTATCATTTTACTTTACAAATATATGAAAAAAGCGAGTGAAATGAGAGAAAAAAAAGATTCTACCATCGGTTTAGGAATAGGCTACAGCAATATCAGATTCTAAAGTATCAAAAAAGAACCTACGAGCAAATTCATGTGGCATTAAACTCAAACAGGAACAAGTGACTTACACAGGAATGAAAAGAAAATATGAAATATAAATAAGTGAAGCTCTAGGAGCTATGTGAAGTTTTTGAATACAATTGCTTCTGCGATTTACATCTAGAAAACAATATATATGTAAAGTATGACAAAGGCTGCGTACATAAACGCACAGATTGTGGAATCTGGTTTTCAATTTCTGCAAAGCACTTTTGCTCTAACAATTTTAACTTGACTACTAAGTCATTTGTGCTTTGAATTGAGATGCTCCAATAACTCTTCCGTTTTTTCCAGGAAATAGCACCGCCCTCTCCACAAATTATGAGGTCTTCACCCTTTGGTTCGGAACCTTTTTCGCTACAAAACGCTCAATAGTTCTTCTGTGTCATCTTTGTGGTATTAAATGGAGTACAACTTCAGTCGTTAGACATATGCAGCAAGGTAGGCGAATCACTACTAATTAAATTTCATTAAAAAATCCAAATTCTACATCAAAATATAACAAATAGTGGATAAGAAACCCAGAATCATTCTGTCTATCCCATTAATTCAGCGGACAGCTGGCGATAGTACAGCCGGTTACTCGCTGCAATGCCAGAATTTAATCAGAAAAAAAAAAGAACCGGCGTCGCTAATGGAGCCGCTCCACAAAAATGGTTTTGGTTAGAAGGGTGGATCTTTCGGCCAACGTTCCAGTGCGTTTCATCTTCTTCGAAACCGATTCATCCAAGTCGCTCCATAGTCGTTCGTCCTCGTTGTGGTCTTCGTTCCCGTTCAACTACGATCTTATTCTGAGAAGCACCGGTTAAACGCGAACCCTACCCAAAAGTTTCTTTCTATACACGATGGTTGCCAATGATAGTCTGGTAACATGATAACATGTTTGAGCCTATTATGAAGTCCGCTGTGGCCCGGGCTCTTTGGTAGCACACTGCTCTTCGGTTCAGCCGACTGCTTAACAAAGTAGCCTGGAAGACTAACCAAGGGCCTTTTAAGCATTGTATAAGTGCCACATCAGACTTCACAAGAGGTTCAAAAATGTTATAATGTTATCAGACTATCATCAACAGCCATCGTGAATAAAAAAGGAATTTCGGGTAGGGTTCTCATTTATGTGGTGTGCTCCGAAAGGATTGAACTCGAACGAGAACGAAGGCCGCAACGAAGACGAACGATTATAAAACAGCTCGGCTAAATCGGCTCCGAAGAAGGTAAAACGCCCTGGAGCGTTAGCCGAAAGATCCACGCTTCTCAGCAAAACCACTTCCGTGGAGCGGCTCCATGAACGACGCCGGTACTTTTTTTTTAAAATTAGATTTTGACATTGCATAGAGTAAACGGCTGTACTATCGCCAGTCGTTCGCTGAATTAATGGGATAGACAGAATGATTCTGGGTTCCTCATCCACTAGTTGTCATATTTTGATGTAGAATTCTGGTTCTTAGTGAAATTTAATTAGTAATGACTCGCCTGTTCTATTGAATATGTCTAACTACTAAAGTTGCTCGCCGTTTGGTACTACGAAGAGGCAGAAGAAGAGCAAAGAAAGTACATCAGATATATTGAAGAAGCCTAGCTCGAAGCACAAGTGAATTAACCAAATCGAAAGTACTAATAGCAGATGTAGTCTGAAGAGACAGAACGCCAGATTACTCAATCTGTGCGTTCAGATACGCTGCATATGTCACACCTTAAACATAGAATTGTGCTCCAAATGAAAAACTTTGGAGCAATTGTATTTGAAAAAAACTTCATAAGAAATCCAAAAATTTTGTCATGTAAATCTCATATTTTTTTTCATCGCGGTTCAAGTTACTTGTTCCTGTTTGAATTTGACACTAAATTAATTCGCTCATAGGCTCCTTTTTGATACTTTGAAATCTGATAATATTGTAGCCTATTCCTAAACGACGGTAGAATCTTCTTTTTCACTCATTTCACTCACTTTTTTCGTATATTTGCAAACTAGATTGATAATGACACTGAAGTCAAGGGTGTTTCAATTGATGTGTTACTGAAGCACAAAATAAAGTGGATGCAACGATGTTGTAGACAACATTCTTCACAATATAAGAAGTGTTGTCTACCTCTTCTTTCTCTTCCGCTTGGTTATTCACTCAATTGTTATTGCATTGTCTATGCTTTCTGTTGGCCTATATAATCCTATTGCTGGTGCTGTAGTGTTATCGTAGAGATAAACGATAATCAAATGCAAAGAGTTCGATACAGAGGTAATTAAGAAAAGTCCCATGTGGCCAAACCAACTCTCAGCACAAAATCCAGGAAACTTCCTCTGCTACAGATGCACCGTTACTGTAAAATATATTCGTAAAAACGTGTGATATTGTGCACTGCATTATTTAGTCATAAGTAGATGAGCAAATAGCGAGAGACTATGAGACTCGATGACATTAACAAATTACTCCCTCGCTCTTTTGATTTACCGAAACTGTTTCATGTCAAAATTTCCCTTCGTTGATATATCGAAACTATCCGATTTTCATATATCATTCATCTCATAAGCTCGGCATCTTCGTTGATTTCTCATCCAAACGCAAGGTTTAATAGCACTATTTATTCAAGGAACTATGTTTCGTAGTTTCGACTTACTCTGGGCCTCAAAAAGTCATGTTGTCCACATCCAGCCTGTCAAGCACCTAAATTACTCGTTAAAAAAGACCACCAAACCTAAATTTCAGAAGCAGCAAACACATAATTGGCGGCTAACATGCTATCTGCTTTCACAAGTTATCCAATGAATTATTCACGTAGAGGCCAGGTGGCAGAAAACACATGACCTTGTAATGTGCCTCCCGCATCTATACAGTTGTCTCGTGTGGTGTCTCATATCACTCACAAGGTTTTCCTTCCTGCGCTTTTAGTTGGATCAGTGGTAGTGATCCAAAACGCTTTTGAACAATAAATTTCTCCAAAGAAGTACTCTACAAATTGATTAATGTGGGCTCTATTAAGGATCAATTATACTGCGAACTAAAACTCACATCACAAAAACTTCTTGAAAAAGAAACACAGTGAGAAAAATTTGTTTTTAGATTACACTTTCACATATCGTCAAAAAAAGAAGTAAGAAATCGAGAAGCGTTGCGTTATCATTGATGTGGACTTGGCGTTCAAAAGTGGGAATTTTTAGAACACATAGGCGTTCTTTTTACTAAAACAAATTCTTTTATAGAAGGCCTTCAGCTACATGTCATTATTTCTGATTAGAAATTGTCTCCAGTGGACGGATTTTACTGTACAAGTCCCAATACATCCACTGTGAAGTTCAAGCGATGGGCTGATTTCTCAGAGTGTGATACGTGATCATAATTCCCTACTACAGCGCACTCAAATATCAGTTCGAAAAAGCAAATTAGTACTTAGAAATCACACTTTTTAAGCTATTGAATAATAATCAAAACTCTGCTGCAAAGCCAAGGATAAAGATAGCAAAGCAATCCAAAAGCGAGACGTTATTTGTGTTCGTCGTTACTACAGCGATGTAAACACTCTGATTGAGAATTAGTTCTTGATTTCATCCATGAGGGAGACGTGTGCTACCACTACACCACCGAGGTACATTCGCGCCACCACTCGTTCTTCAATATCTAAGTGGTGGATGAGGGGTAGTGCGAATGTACCTCGGTGGTGTAGTGGTAGCACGCGTCCTCCTTGTGGATGAAAGACGGGTTCGACTCCCGCTGAAGGTCGTAATTTTGCTCATTACTCAATTTTCTCAAGTTTATTTAAAGCATGATAACACTGCGAAAAAAAGCTGTAAAACACTAGATTTCACGAGTATTACGCATCACAATGGCTGTCAGCTGAACTGAATTTAAAAAGCGAAGTCATAAATTCAATGATAATGTGCTTCCAAATTGAACTTTCACATATCGTCTGAAAAAGAAGATATCTTCGCACACCCTATCAAACCTATTGAAGGTTGGTGGCTGGTAGCTATCATAAAGATTCTGAAGAATGAGTGGTGGTGTGAATGTACCTCGGTGGTGTGTGGTAGCAAGCGTCGACGGCATGGATGAGACGCGGGTGCGACTCCTATCTGAGGTCGTACTTCTGCTCACCACTCAATTCTCTTAATTTTATATGAAACATCTAACACTGCAAAAAAGCAGTAAAACACTATATTCCAAAAGTTCTTTCAGTTTGGTCACCCTTCGTTGGCTCATTTCTTACGGGGTCGACCCGTTCCCGGTCCTGATTGTCGACTGTTTCTCGCTCATTGCAGCTCCATCGGCTCTTCAGGAGCCAAAAGTGATTACTGGTTCGGTCCACAGTTATCACGTTTTCTTCAGGAAGGCCAATCACCATGCTCATGTGTCTTCGCTCGGTAAATCTTGAGTTTTTAGCTCATTACTGAATATTTTCCAGCTTCATCTCGATTATTTCTTACTTTCCATCAGTGGAATGTGTAAGATATTCAGTGTAGAGCTACAGTACTGGAGATTCATTACCATATAAAGTAATCTAATATTCATGAGAAAGAATTCAACTTGTCGAAGGCTATTTGCATCTCGCTTCAATCACAGACATCAGCGGCTAAGCGACAACCATGGTTGAGAAATAATACGTGTAAATGGAGCAGTGAAAGGTAGGCGAGAAGCATTGCTATGTCTCACGTTCAGGTACCGTTAATCCTTCTGAATTTTTCTCCATCTAATCACACAGTAATTTCCGCCTAAATCAAATCTTGTACTTGTTTTGCCTGCGCCAGACATATACTGGAATTAATGTTGGAAATCGCAATGCGTCTTAGTTGATTGCGATTATCTGTCAAAAGCAATATGGGAGATTTCCAGACATTGTTTCCCAGTTTTCAAAAGCCCTTCGATATCTCCAAAATTGATCGATCTGATTTGAAATTAGAAGGAAACAAAATAGAGTTCTGGGTGCGGTCTACGGAATGAGATTGCTCGTAGTCGGATCTTCTCGATTCAGATTATCCTATGGTTATATTGTTATCTTTGACTCAGGCTTTTTCCACGATTTTATGATGATTTGTAGCTATGGCAGTTCACTTTACACTCGTAGTATGTATATATTATTGCCAGCTAAAGCTTCTCATCAAAAGTGTGGGAACTTATGCACTCAAAGAGCAAACCTTTCCTATCATCAAATGTGTGCCTCTTAATTTCCTGCTTGATTCATAAAGCAGTTATGAGGTCCAAGCTTCGCGCTAGCTAAACCTCGTGCGAAACGTGGATTTCTTTTCGTTGCTACAGAGCGCTATGAAGACATTCCGAAAAAGCAAATATACTGCTTAAGTTGTTGGCTTTTGAGAAATCAACAGTACTAAAATTTTTGTGTAATTCAAGCGCGCAGCAGCCGAGAAAGCAATGTTCGTCAAAGAGTAAACGTGATTATATGATAGTCGCCAAAGCGCACTGAGAAGGTTTTTGAAAACCAAGCACAGTTTTGCAATCATTGGTTCTTGTGCTATCGAGTATATGCTAAAGCCCGAGAGAAAAGCCCTATCTAACGAATGGGCCTCTGGGTCATTGTGTACTGGAACGGTCCACACATAGCGATATCGAAAATTGTCGGAAGTAAAACTCTGTGAAAAAAAGTCGATTTGATAAAGTCGCCAAATGGTTTCGTATGAATGCATAATTAAGAGAGAGGATTTCATGATATGTCTTAACGGTAAAGAGTCAATCTGCAGGAGTTTAGGTAAAATACCCTTGATCTCTTGTGCGATATAAAACGATAAACATATAGGCAAAACAAGTAGATCGCTTTGTGTCCACATAAAAGAATAGCCGCATTAAAAATTGAAAAGCTGGACGAGAACTCTTTCTAGATACATATAGGGCGAAAAAGCTGGAAGATGGCGGCTTTGAAGTGACAGTGAGAATCCTGAAATACGAGACAAAAACGTCAGTGCGCAAAGCTTCGGAGGCTTTTTTAATAAATTTCGAGAAACTAGGAATGGATAGAAGAGAAAATATAGTCTGAGCGTGCTGTGTGCTCCTAATTTTTATTGCTTTTTAATTATGTATGACTTCATGAACATACATTTGAGGGTATTGAGTGGTACGCAGAACATTCAACAAATCAAATTGCATCATGTTAATATAATATATGCAATATATTATGGAAAACAGTAAATTATTCATTGTAATACAGAACACTAGTAGAATGCTACTATTTCAGTGGTACTCTACTGATATTTCAATGAGTTGATCGTGAGTCAATTCCATTTTTTCACCTAGGAAAGCGATACCGCCAAAACGTCAGTCAATACTTTAGTACATGAAATTGTATTCTGAATTGAATTATAATCGAAAATCTCACTCCTAACAACCTCACTTTTATCCCACATTACTCTAAAGTACATCGATGATCTTTTCCATATAAGATGTCGAACGGGGATTTTCTCCAATATGTAGACACATGGATTGATTTTTATACCTGACTCTGCCATAAATAGAGAAAATATTGATTGGAAACTTAGATATGGCATGGAAATAGTACGACTAATTCTGAAGAAGGCGAAATCGCTGGAACGTCGGCATTCGCCTTTGAAAAAGTAATATCAACCTCGTACAAACTTCAAAAAAAATTTCGTAAAAAAATTTTATTTTCGTGCTGAGGTTTTACAAAAGTGATTTGATTTAATAGGGAATGTATTAGCTCTTCTCGTTGTAAACGGCATCACTACTACTACTGACTGTCTTTCCTATATCAAACCTCATTATTGTTGATTAAAATCATGTAGATCCTAATTGCCTTGATTCATTTGATCAATAAGCTTTGCTATCAACTGGAATGTAGGTACTTAAAATTTCAAGCATGCGATGTTGATTCGAGCGCTGATTTTTGGACATCATAGTAAAAGTCCGTCTACGGGCTAAACAAAATGAGGCCTTGCAATCATTTTCGAGGCACGCATGTCAGTGGTCTGTCAACCGAGCGCCGATACATGTGTTTCCATCTTGCGATCTCGTCAGTTGGGCAGTTACCCTTTCTCGTCTTTGCTAATCTCTGTGGGTGCTCCAGTCCCCACACCAAGAGTTAGTGACGACGAACGCTTTACGCTCTATGTCCGCTGAAAAACTGGGTGTGGTCTTAAAAAAACACTCGAAACGAAAGTTATGATTCGGTTTTCCTCTATTAATACATGTGCATTCAATAAAATATAGGGTATCTGTTGTATCTCTAACGATGTAATCAACGAAGAGCCTTCATCTTTTTACATTTAATAAGTGACACAAACCGTGATCGATGTGAAACATACTCGTTCTTCACTTTTTTTTTTCAAGAAACTCAAATGTGATGCGAGAAGGACACAGCAGGGAAAGTAGCGCCGATCGTCACGAGCATAGTTCTGGCTCAACCCCGTATCGGACTCACTAGGTATCTCGTTTTTTTAACGATGGTAGCGCACTTGTCCGGAATCGGCACTCGCTCCTCGGATTCAGAGTTGGAGCACTCTAACAACAATCCTCAGATTGCAAACGCCTCACAGGCGAAAACTTCAAATGTTATTACGTATGATGGAAACAAGAAGGTAAATCTGTAGAGTGTTAGAATACGTGTAGATATGCCAAATGTGCGTTATGCAAAACATAATAGACAGAATTGAATATGCTGCTCAGTTCTAGTATAAAACGCTCCATAAAAGCATGGAAAATTATTGTACAAGTGGAAAGTCGACTATCTATGCAGTTAAGGTTAGGATCAAAGCTCTCGGCGTTGATCAATCCCTGAGCGTTGCGCTATACAATGACCTTCAATTTTTAGCTTTGTTTGAGGTGAGTGAATGTATATCTGAGCCTTTACAATGACTCGCGGTGGACTACCGCTGTAACGAGCTTGTGCTGCTTATCCTCTCAGACAAGACTGGTACAATCATATCAATCCCGTAGTGGATGGATGTCTTGGTGAGCTATGAGCGGGATGTCAAACCATAAACCTTGTGTGCGACTCAGAGCCTCTGTGGCCACTGCGCCATATGCTCCCGACCGTACCGTGGCTTAGTGAATGGCCTGGTATCTCAGTTTGTTTTTATGCACTGTCTGCCGCTTACGCGTTAAAATCACAGTATTTTTACTGGTTTTTTCGCAGTGTTATTATGTTCTTATATAACTAAGAGAATTGAGTGGTGAACAAAAACACGGCCTCAGGCGGGAATCGAACCCACGTTTCATCCTATCCGGGGACACGTGCTCTACCACTACACCACTGAGGCACATTTGCCCGACCACTCATTCTTCTACATCTCAATGTTAGCTATCAGCCACCAACCTTTAACAGGTTTGGTCGGGTATGCGATTTCGCTTTATAAACCCAGTTGAGCTGATAGCTATTCTAATTACTAGTACTTCGAAATTACAGTATTTTACTGCTTTTTTCGCAGTGTTACTATGTTCTTATATAACTAAGAGAATTGAGTGGTGAACAAAAACACAGTGTTTTTGTTCACCACTCAATTCGCTTACGCTTTAGTTTAATTAACAAATTAAATCATGGAGATATCCCTTTTTGTCATTGATGGAACAAACACAATGAATGAGTGGTGAAAAGTACATCATCAGAACTTTTTACTGATCAAACACGATCTTGGTAATAACAAGATTTCTAAAACACAACGGTGACTGATGTTTTGATGGAATAGCGTTTTATAATGTTTGGAAAAGTCACACTCATATACATTTCACTCAGTGAGCTTTCATAACTCTAGTAGGGAAAA